CATTTAAACTTGTTTAAATTAATATATAATGAACTGCATAATATAATTAGGAAATAAATGTAAAGAAGTTATATTTTATTTAAATTTAGCTGTAAGTTTGTTTAAGTTTAATAGCGTTAAACACAAAAACTTGAATTAATTAGGAAAATCTGAGGCAAAGGTTATATATACATTATTCTTCAACAAAGTAAACAGCATACACTTATTTAAATAAAGATGGTACAGTAAATATTTTTCTCACAAAATGTTTGTCTGTTGGTAGAGCGGCAAAATGGTGGTTGGAGTGAGGATTATATGGGGTCTTGGATTCAAATCTCAAAAAGGGACAATATGGTGTTTCTCTTTATAGTGATAAAGACAATAATTATTTGAGAAATTATTGTCTTTATGGTGATTAAAATATTTTGAGAAAAACAAATTTTCATCTTCAAATATCTTCGATTACCTGAAGTGTAATTTGTTTGCTTTGACCATTTCCTTTGGGTGGGGGAGGGGAACTGAGCAATCAAGCTTTTATGGGGGCCATGCACCCCCTACGCTAACCCCTAGATATACCACTGATTGGTACATCAGCTAAACAGAAATGCAGGTCCAAATCCTGACAACACATTTTATGGAGAAAAAAAAACTCATCTTTATATACTTCTGATGGACTTGTTTATTATCATGTAAACTGAAAGTTGTTTTATAAGTTTCATGTGGGCATGTGTCATTTTTTATCTTTTTATTCTTATTCAACTATTATTTTAAAGATATACCATCTTTATATCACAGACGTGACAATCATGTGACTTGCCTGAACGTTGTTTTATAGTTTAATAATTTGTTTTGTGGGTTTATGTTATTACTTATCTTTTTATTGTTAATGCAACACTTCTGTAGCCCTGTTCACACTATCAAATTTCATTTGACAAAAACAGTTGACATGCCTAAATATGGTTAAATATGGTCATGATGACATCACATCATGACCATATATACCATATACAACTCTATGTTTTGTCAAAGAAAATTTTGAGTGTGGACAGAGGCTTTATACTGTCTTGAACAATCAAATAATGAATCTATTATCAAAATTGCTTACTTTTGTATTAAGTTATTAGCTTCCAGATGAATTTTAGAACCAAATTTACATCCAGTGTATAAATAACATCCTCCTTATATTCAATACAAATACAGTACCTCCAACTTGGCTGGTGTGATACGCCCTTAATTGGTAGGCAAGTTTTCTTTGGTTATCATATGATAGATTGGATAGTTCATGTGAAACAATGTCTCTGTTCTTAACTTGTTTTTTGGATCCAGTACCCAATTGAGGGCGTAGCACACTGCAGTGTTGACCAGCATTACAATTCAATGCTTGAGAAAGGATAGCCAAAGTGCATCTGTGCAGGTATGAAACATGTTGTATATGCACTGGTTTTTGAAATCATATAAGTTTATTCAAAGGTATTCAATATTTTCTTTGTTAAATTTTTGATGTCTCTTCAGATTTTACCGTCTTTAACAACCTCACTTAATTCTCCACTGTTTTGTTGTAAAAGCATTTAAGTTTTTACATGAATAGCGATATATATATTTCCGACTGCCTCGTTCCTAACATTGTGTAAAAATTAATAATCTGGAAAGTAGTCTAAAATGACTTTTGTTCCTCAATTTTATGCATATTAATATTATAACATTTTTAGTATCCTTATGTTTATTCCAACCTGTCTATACTGTATTATAATGTCTGTAACATTATTAAATGTTTAAAAATAATATGCATTTTGTATGTCTGTAATAATTAGTTTGTCTATGATTTTATTGCCTTAAAAAACTTTGAATAAGCCATCTTTCCTGTGTATGTCTGTGTCAATGGTCAAAGCTTACAAACACATTCTAGTGTATCATAGAATATGTATATAAATGATGCGTATATTTTGTTCGCGAACGTACGTGTGCTATCTAATAGTGATACATACAAGAAATAGCCTAATTATGATTTGAAGTGCATGAAAGAAATATTCATAAAAAAATACCTTTTAACTGTTGTTGACAGAAAATGGAAATATTTTCCCGTCGTTAGTTGACGTCATAAAACTTATAATACTGTCAATCGCGAATGTTCATACATTACTTTAAAAAATATATGATAATTGAGTGAGATATTGGCTACAGCGCCCTCCTGCGACTTTTGTACGGTTGCTCACCTGTAATTAATACTTCCATGGTTATATATAAATTTGAACATTACTAATATTAAAATAACTGGGATCATATATCGATTTTATATGTAATCAACACATACATGTTTTGCTTTCTCTGAGGTGATACAAATAACGTTTCTTAAATAACATAAAATAAAATGCCACAAAACGATGTTAGAATCCATTTAAAATCTCACTTTCCTTTAAACTAACCTTACAGCTTGAAACAAGGAAAACTGGGTATACAATCTGTCGTGAAGTCTGAACATTGAAAATTCAATTAAAACAAAATTTTCAGTAAGACAGAAAAACGGTTTTCACTTATTTACAGCCGGGGGCCAGCGACGTATAACCAACGCGTCCTCTCTAGCTGCATGTGGGTTATCGGGCCCTAGGGTGTTCCAGTATAAATGGAGTGTGTGAAAATAAAAGTCGATTCTTGGTCATACAATATATATTGATATTCATAATATTTAACTCGTTCCGTTTTCCCCGGGCCCCACGACTGGTCGTATCGCTACTGGATTAAGAATCCGGGTCCGTTTCGGTCCTAAGTCGATTTGGGTCGTTTTGGCCTCTTTCGGCCGAAAAGACTCGGGTCAGAACAAAAAGACTGGGAAGGCCCAAGCGACATGGATTAAGTAGGCAATCGTGGCAATAACATTATATTTGTTTTATTTTTTTAATACTGGAATGATCCTATAAATGGAAATGTATCAGCGTTTTATCGTAAATATTTTTAGAAGGAAAAAAAAAAGATACGGCACTTCACTTCAGGAAAATTGTGTTGTAGAAAGATATCTTTTATCTCATGAAAAATATACAAATACGATACGTTTTGTTTGCCTTATTCCTTTAAATTATGACTGATTCTATAGGCCCCTATGTGTATGACGTTTTAGTGTACGAAAAGAAAAAGAAATCTTCATTTCATCTATTTTTAGAAGAAAATAAAGACAATACTATTTGTAGAACTCTCTCTTTAAAAATAAAAATAAATGATACGAAAAAATATTATATTGTACATGTAAAAATGGGTCTCATTTACAGAAAAGAACTTTCGAGTGTCACGAAACGGAGGGCCAAAACTACCCCGGCCGAAACGAGCCGGGCCGACGAACACGACGTAGAATGGATTCTTAAGATGAATTTACTTAAAGGTCTGATGATGACTAAAGTTAAAAACTATATTGCTTAAATATTAACCGTACTAGTCTCATACAGGCCCTTCGAGGATTATAGTGTAGATGTATCATATTGAACCACAAGCTTTCGTGGACAACACTCCTTGAGTAGACCTATGTATTCAATAAAAAAGCTACTAACTTAAATGTAGGCCTACGAAGTAAACCATTCAAATATTTAATTGTATTGACTCAACACAGACTTATTGGTATTAAAGTAGTAGGCCTATTTGTATAATTCCTACTTCCACAAATCCATATTATCGCATTGGTTTTTCGTGGACAAAAGGAAACTTCTCGGTAGGTCTATACAGTACAATAAAAATCTAAACTTAAATAGGCTTATACGAAGTAAACTTATTTAATTAGGCCTATTTAATTTTATTGACGCATTGGTATTTGTATAAATTCCTAATTCCACAAATCCATATTATCGCATGGCGCACGGTCGAAATAGGCCTTTTTTTTTTTTATCTATTAACGACCATAGGAGGACTGATATTGATTTTAAGAAGGCAATACATTGTTATGATCTCTTAAAGTGTGCTGTTTGTCGTGAGCTAAATAGTATTTAAAAAAATTCCAATTTTAAAATTTGTATATTTAAGTAAGTCAGTTAAATTATTATTTAAAACATGAATTTGAGAAAAAGCTTAACCCGTCAAATTGACAGACAGGACGTTTAATAATATATCTTCTGTAGGCTTACTCTGTATTCTTTTGCATAGACCTTTATTGGGGCCCTACCTGAAGATTGCACATAGGTCTAAACTATTATTTCTGATCCTTTCAAATGATCCTTTTTAAATGGAATTTTTGGTGGTTTCCCGATTGTTTTTGTTTTGTTGACAGATCGTAGGCCTAGCCTACATCGGTGGTCTGCTATATCTTTGTTTATTGATTGTTATTGTCTGTAGCGTTGAAGAATTTGTCAGAATCTTGCCAAACAAAATTGTTTTGTTTCAGTTATTTGAAAACTATGTCATTCAATACTTTCATCAATAGCAAACCATTTCGGACCGATAGTTGATGATGAACGAAATTAGGAATAGGATATAAGAGAGTTCGATCAAAGATGGTTCGATCAAAGTAATTTAGTTCGATCGCCTTTTGGAATAAAGTCGCTTAGCAACCACCCAAGCTTTTACTTCTCAAGTTCCTTGTGCAATTACCGAGACCCACATATTCATCCGCTTAGGAAGCAAAACGAATTAAAAAATTAGTACATTTAACAAATAGTATTTCACAGACGTTAATAATTTATCACTAAAACTTTAATCAAAAACCAATAGTGTTATTAATATGAGTGAAAATGAGTATCTTTGATGTTCGCGTATTAATATTGTGATCTTCGTAATCTTCATGTCAAAGTTCACATTTATTTTGAGAGCGTGACCAGATTAACAACTTTATTGATGCATTGGTTATCAAAAGTGTGTTGGTCTGACAGGAACCATAAACATGGACTCTTGTAAAGGAATTTACGTGTTATCAAGCAATATTAAATAGTTATGGAAACGTTATAAGGGAATTTAATGACGATTAGTCATGTTGGAATCTATTCAGAATCCGGCAATGCACAGTGAGTTTTCAAAAGCAACTTGTTTTCTTATAAATTTTTGTTTGCTATGGTTGAGTAGGTTTTTTGGTGTAGGACTGTCACTGTCAGTCCCTCCCACTTGGTGGAGAGACATCGGTGGTAGGCCTGCTAAAGTAGTTAGTAGTAGGCCTAGAGGCAGCACCATACAGTAGTTTGTCATATTATTTATTATTATTATTATTATTATTATTATTATTATTATTATTATTATTATTATAATGGTCACATTATTAAGAATTATTATTATATAAAAATATAATATAATGAAGAAAAATAATTATATAAAAAACTAACCAGTCAGTATTTTAAATTTATAATACTACTACTAGGCATAGGCCTAGGCTATTATTCTTTTAATTTATAAAAAAAAATTTTATTGTTGTGGGCTGTAGATATTGTTGTAGGCCTAGCCTATTCTAATCTATGTAGGCCTATGCCTCAATCACGGCCAGGTTAAGGTGAGGGAGTACAGTAAATAGGCAGTTTTCGCCACACGATGTTAACCTTAATGTTAACGGATGATGTCATAATTTATTCATCTTGCGTTTCAGAGTACGTTAATCTCAGGATTTTACGTGCTCTTTTATAGAAAAAATTATTAGATTATCACTCTTTTTTTTTTAAATTGATGAGGCGAGGGAGGGCGGTTTTTTTTTTATCGGAACAATAGATTATTTCACTTTTCTTTTTATCGATGAGGGATGGACTGTTTACATATTTGGTCTGTAATAGTAAATATTGTATAAAAATTGGTTTAATTTTATAGTTTCTTAAAGAAATTGTATTTGAAGTCACAAAATTGCATTGTTATTTTTATGCTGTTAAAATTTTGGACGCGGGCGGGACTGATAATCTAATAAATTTTTCTACTTGCCCTTAGTTACGGGTTTGCGCATGCGTATTTCGATTTGTTTACAAAAGGAGCTATCGCGTTGCATATTGGGTACTAACGTTAAGGTTAACGTTGTGCGGCGAAAACTACCTAATAACTAACTAATGAAAGAAGCAAGTCAACTCAATCCTTTTTTAAGTCGATTGATATCGACAAGGCCCTTTATTGATTCGGCCCTTGCCAACTGGTCCATTCGCCAACTTGGCACGTACTGTCAGTCTGACCTTGTTAACGTGGCCTCACTGAATCAGCACACGAGAATTTCAGTTATCTGTTTTTGGAAAAAATTGCAATATTTTGTTTGCCTGCACAATAGGGATAAGCAATGTTTGTTGAGGAATATATGCTTCTAATATATGTATAAGCCATAATATAATAATTTAATACTCTTTCTGTATTAATCCTAGGTTATAAAAGGAATAAAAAGCCAATTGATTTTTAATGATAATTATGAAAAAAAACAACTAATTAATAACTAATTTTAGTTTTTTAATATTTTTTTTTTAAATGATAGACTGTCATTTAACAATAATTAATTTTTATTTCTTATAATTTCACACATCATTTTTTATTATTTCAAATCAAATCATTATGTTCTCTTTTAATAACAGATATATCTAGTTCTTTTTCTAATTATTAATAAGATAATGTTTGCTTCTTTTCAGAATATAGAGTGCTTGGCAAGAAAGGTGAAGGAACTTTCTCTGAGGTTCTCAAATGCCAGCATGTTCAGGATGGCACCTACTATGCATGTAAAAAAATGAAGCAAACATACGACAGGTTAGAAACAAAAGACAAAATATAACTATATAATGTAATATTTCATTTTAACACTCTTCCCGCCAAACACGAAGATCTCTGTGTTTGGTAAGACAACGCTTGACCGCCAAACACGGAGATCTTTGTGTTTCAGGTTTTTTTACAGAATCTGATAGATGGGGTAATTACCGACATGTAATAACAATTTGAACACTATATTCAGTCTGGACCATAAGTATTTCACTATTTGTTTGTTTACATTAACATAGAGCGGTATTGATTTACTTTCACAAAATCGCAATTATCTCAGCTTCGTTGTGCGGAATTGCGTAAATTTCCAAAAGTGAGTCATTTTCATTTTACTGTTACGGGTCACAGATTGCGATTAGAATTAAGTGTTTGGTACCATAGTAAAGCTAAGATGTTTGTAGTTCTTGTAGTATTCACTACATGTCAATCTGATCACATACGCACTCTCAACAAGCTTTGGAAAAGTGTTAAAATTTGCTCGATTGTCTCGGCCTGATCGTCTTGTGGGCCCGATCGTCTGTCATCCATCATGATGATCGTCGCTAAAATCGTCCTTCTCTTTTTGGCTTAGTTCTGCATCATCCGACGTCGTTTCTTCAAATTATTCGTCTTATTTAGCCTACAAAATCGTCGTCAGTGAGATTCAAACATTTTGCCCTATTTAATGCAAATGCATATCTCCTTTCTGTTTCATTATCTCGAACTTTATTTCGATTCGAAGCCATAGAAGAGCGGTCTGTTTTGATCGATTTTGCTCGTGTTTACTGCCAGTTTTCATCCAGTTTCTATGGAGTGTCCTCAAAAAATGGCATTATTTTGTGCTTTATAGTAGGAATATTAGGTCCAAACTTAGTAAATAGTATTACTTTATTATTCTACCAAAAACTCATTTTCCAAAAAATACACGTATTTCGACCTATTCTAGCTTAATAGGCATTTTTCTCATTACACGACGGTGCGAGTTTACAGCCCAACTGTCACAATTAGGAGCTTCATTACAGTAGTAAATTCATGTGTTACCGACGATCCACACATAAGACGAACAGGATTTTATAAAATCAAAAATTTGTGTGTCGTGTCGTCATATATTACGCGAGTACCAGTATACGGTACAGTACAGTATTTGGTATTTCAGGGTAAGAGATTGGTTTGTATTTAATAACCGGAAAGAAGTACATAGTGAGAAACAATCAAATGACTCATCAAGCATTGAATACTGTAAAGTGATTTTTTTTATTACACTGCTTTTGTGTAATGTATGATGAGGCTTTTGTCTTTTTATTTATTTAGTCTCGAACAAGTCAACAATCTGAGAGAAGTACAAGCAATGCGAAGGCTGAGCTCTCATGAGAACATCCTGCAGCTACAAGAAGTTATATTGTAAGTAATTCCAACGATTTATGAAATATTGAATATTATAATTACGGTTGAAATTTCCTAAGTCGAATCGAAAATGGCATTGAAAAACTGTTCGACTTACAGATCGCTAATTAATGGAAAATTCAACAATTTGGCATGTAAAATAAGGTCATCTTGGAAATTATTCGACTTAGTCGAAGTCGACTTATGGGTTAACTGTATGTTACTTTTCTCTTCTTTTTAGCATATAGCATCCCCATACAGTAGTACTACTACAGTGCTACAGTACAGTACCCGTACTATTTTTTCAACTATTAAAGCCATTAAAAATATGTACTTGTTTACCGTCACATCCATGAAAAAAATCAGGGGGAGACAATCACCTGGCCAGATGTCTTGCCGGTCAGGGAGGCTATTAAATTATAATTATCAAATTGATATTTGTATTTATTTTTATATTCTCTATCATGATATGAGAGGTAAACAAACTTTTTTCAAAACAGTAGTAGTAGTAGTTGGTGTTATGTAACTGAATTACAGTAGTTTGATACAATAGACTACAGTAGCAGCCTGTATTGTAATAATTCCTGGTAATCTTTTGTCCATTTATTATTGTTTAAAATTAGCTTTAAAAGTTTTGCAATTACATAATTAGTTAAATATTGGGTTTTTAGTACTTTGAATACAATTTTAACAGGCATTTCTTGACAATTTTTTTTATTTAATTTTTTTTTTTTTGGGAAATACACAAATAGATAGTCAGAGGCGGGATGCGAGTACACTAAACTAGTACTGTAATTCCTCTGATAAATTCCAACCACCCCCACCTCCCCGAACAAAATAAAAGTCAGAAACTCATACTCATTCAAAGTATACCCTGGGCTTTTGCTAGAGGAAAGGTTGGTACATAAAATTGGGTGTAAAGTAGGGGGTGGGCTTATACCTGAGAAACTACGGTATGTTTTTATGTGGCCTTAAATATAAATTTGTAGTATATTAATTTTTGAGAGATCTAATAGTACTGCAACTATGTTGTAGTAGTAGACATCTTATCAGTAGGCCTATCATTTATGTTCATGTATATTCAATTTTGAAGTATATTTTTTTTTCACTGCACATCACCCACAAGAACGTGACTAATTTTGATTTATTTATGGTTACTATAGTGATAAATAGGCAACTATAAATTGAGAGGCGTTTTATTCAGTCTGTGGCATGATTTCAATTGATTCCATCGTTGTAATAAGCAACCAGTAATTTGTTTTTACGTCAGAGTGAATTTACAAAGGAGTTAATCTTCTTCACAAGATCTACTGAAGATGTTTATTGGGTTAATGACGTCTACAGTAGCTTGGCTCTTGTCTATTAATAAAACTGATCTTGCTAGTACAGTATATACTAGCGAGTGGGATTTTCTTAGATTGTATTAAAAAAGCTAAAATTGACATGAAATTTTAAGAAATACATTGAATTGCAAATTATTTATATTGAACATATTATAATTTGTATTTTTTTTTAATGTTTTTTTTTTTAGTTCTTTATTGAATTTATGATAATTTAAACAATAAATCTATATTGAAGTAATGGTAAATCCACCTACCTGTAAATATACAATATCTTATTATTGTTTATTATTAATTGATTCATTATTTTATTTCAGTGATAAAAAGTCAGGAACATTAGCTTTAATATGTGAACTAATGGATATGAATATATATGAACTTATACGAGGTAAGATCATTTTTCTTTATTAAATAATTGCATATTTAATTTTGGTTTGCTCATATAAACTTTTATTTTTATAACAAGTTACATGGGCATCCATTTTTCATGTAATTTTTTAAGCGAGTACAAAAACTCTTTTCTGTGACCCAGAATTTATCCCCAAAATAGTATAAATTAAAATAATAAATTTGGTTTAAATACTAATAGGTCATAATTTTTTCATTTTTGTAGAGTGTATGTATACTGTACACTGCTGGGCTCTTCCCAAGCTCTTGTGAAAATGAGAAAAATAATGTAATATAGTGTATTATATTAAATATATAATATATAATATAATAATCATTATAATATAATAGTACATATATTATTGCAATTATAATAATTCTACTTATAATTAATATTATTTTGTAGAATATTTGTAATGTTTTTATAATGTACTGCACCTGTTATTAAGGCACCCTGTTGGCTTTTTGCTGTTGGATGGTGATTTGAAATAAATAATTAAATAAATAAAATAAATTATCTAAAAATAAAAACAATATTAAATACTGTAATGATAATGATACTAGTATTGTAATGGTAGGCCAAATGATGATGCTTCAGTACAAGAAAATGAAAATGACACTAACTTTATTCCAAAGAGAGAGAGTTGATTTCAAGATATCTGCAATTATATTAAGTTTATATACTATGCCAAACAAATTTTACTTTACGTTATCAATCTATTGTGAGGATTCAGGTTTAAGGTGGACATAATTGCATGTTGAACTCTTTAAGACGCAGTGCCTTATTGTATCCCCTGACAGCTATAACACTTGTTATTCTCAAAATGATTGATCCCCCCATTGAATTATAAAACTATAAAGTGTTTGTAAATAATAAACTAATAAAAACATTATTAAGAAAAGCAAACTAGCTCATAAAAGTTGATTTCAGACATCAACAAGATTAAAGGAACATTAAGGTTAATAGAGAGTGATTGAGTACCTTGGTACTGAAAAGCTGAAGTTGAAAATAATGTTGAAAAATTTGTCTGGTTGCCTTAGTGATTGGCATGATGCTGTTAAGAATGTTTGGCCGTAGCAAATATTAAGAACAAAGGCGTGGATAGCCTAGTTGGAAGGTCTTTAAGTATTAGACAGTTAATATTGAATTGTCTGTTTGTTTGAGCATCAAGACCCCCTTGGGAACGTCCAAAATTGATAGCTACTGAGTTCCAGACTTTATAAACTTTGTCAATAGCAACGACAGTGGAGGATGCATGTTTTCAAAACAACGCCTTGTTGATATTAGTCATTGACTTCGAATCTGCATTAACATATTAATGTTAAATAATTGTTAAGTTACAGTATTCAATATTATCAATCATTTAGATTAAAGTGAATTACTACTGTATGACTAGAGGGTGTACTCTTTCACTCACTAGCTGGGTTCACGTCGAACTTTTATCTAGATATACATCCACTTAACTAGTTAAAAGTTCGACGTGAACCACTCAATTATAGCTAGTTAAAGGAATTAAATCACTTAATAAGTGACTTAACTTTACTAGAATAACGGTAAATTAACTTGCTTAACAGTAAAGTCGGCTCGGATTAAAAGGACACGATTACGTAACGTAGGCATCTAAGCCAGCTTTGTTGTATTGTACCACCATTATCATCTTCTGGCTGGCAACAACGTACTTCAACAATGCTAACAACAGCATCGAAGTAGTCTCATTAGTCTGGTTTTCAGAAATTATTTGTAATATTTTGGGTAAACACCCAGCAAACGTATGTTTTACGAATAGTCGATATTACCAATGACCTTTGCATCATCGACCAAGTAATAACGTTTAAAAGTCGGATTGCGTACGTCTTTCAAAGTGATAATGTATATTTTTCTTAATAATAAAATCAGATTTGTTGTATTTATTTATTGACAATTCAATCATTTCTATTTCTGCTATAATAGTCGCTATTAATTCAATTTCAACGAACTACGCCAGTCGTTAAAATGAGCGCACATGTTTACGACGAAATAAAAAAGTGTGTGGAGTCAGCAACTTATTTGACACCGCAAAGCTAGATTTTCGCGAAGTGCATGTAAACAACACAATTGAGCATCTAAAAACTACAAAACAGGACAGAAAGGTCCATAAAGTATACAGACGTTTTAATGAAAATTAAAACAATATTTTGTTAAATGGAAGAATGCTAGCTAGCGATTAAAATAATTCGTTTTTTATCCTAGGGCCAGGGCCTAGAGAATCTACCACTTAGATTGCGATAGAACACGCTGCTGCACTGGTCGTTGGTTCATACTGGTCGGCTAGGTTAGGTAGTGGAAACTCACACCTTCTCTACAGTAGTTTACACATTTTTTTTGAACGAATACCACTTGGTACTAGAGGTTCGTAAAATACAGTAGATGTTATATTAAACAAGCCTTTCCACCGTGTGACGTCGACGGCCTGAAACTGGCTGGCTGTTTATCTGGCTCTAACTTGGCATCGAACGCAATTAGGGGATTATCGTATCATGTTTCATGACGGGTATATCTAGATAAAGTCCGACGTGAACCAAGCTACTTACCCTCTAGTATGTTAACGTCATAATTTGTTCCAATGTTATGTAACTATTCATGACCACTAAAGGAAGTACTGATAAGGCCAAAAAAAAAAAAAATTCTTGTGTTAGCAACGTTTTGGGAAAATCCAATAAATGGGTAGTTCGATAGGAAAAGTTGTTTTTTTTTTTTTTACCAATAATGTGTTTATGCCTAAAAAGTAGAAAATACAGACCATTTTAAAATCTATATTGAAAAGCAAAACGATTACATAACACTGTCGTATCGCCTACCATCCAGCAAGATAGGCCTATTCCAGCCTTTTTAGTTCATTAAAAAAATAGTTTTTGTTGTAAAAAATAAACAAAAATAATGCTGAACCTTAATTTTGTAGATTTTGAGTCGGTTGGGCGTGTCCAACACAATAATTTTTTTTATTTGGCGTAATAGTAGTATAGTAATTGTAGATTGCCTTCCACAATAAAATCGTCTCAAGTACATTTTGTCCTCCAGCAATAAATTCTTACCTCACTACTGTACCTGGGCATTACGTTCTACACAAGGTTGGGCCAGATCTGAGTATTAGTCCGTTACAGTATTGTATATTAATAAGAGAGTAGACACACAATTTTATATATTTTCTTTCATTCATTGTGGGAAAGAACAGTCATACGAAATAATGAATGATTCTAGGTAGCAGCAAATCAAAATAGTGTTGTAATATCATTTCTCATATCCCACTATTTCTATTATAATTTATTCACTGCATTTCTCACCTAGGGCCAGTATCTCTGCAAGACAGTAGACTGTGTCATTTAGAAGCCATCATAGTACAATAAAATTATTATTAGGTTTTTATAGTACAGTAGATTTTGTTTTTGAAGATTTTAGAGTCTTTTATTTGAAAGCTTTTTGATAATCATAGATTAATTTCAAACATATTCTAAGCATAAGATTCATTTATTCTAAGAAATATCATACACTCATTTTGTTTATCTCCACAGGAAAGAGGCACTATCTCCCAGAACATAAAATAAAAAATTATATGTATCAATTATGCAAATCATTGGATCACATGCATAGGTACGTAAAAATGTTTTTAATAATAAATAAGTAAATAAGACCAAATAAAAATAATTACTAGTTTCTCGTCCCCTTGTGCATCCATTTTCTCAGCTTTGCAAATTTTCTTTGGATTTTTTTATTTCCTATATTTTACAAAATGTACAAAAATCTGTCTAACTCAGTAAAATTCCTCTCTATTCATTGTTCATGGTTGGGGATACATATGATATGAATCATGTCTAGTGTTTCTTTTATTTGCTTTCAATGTGTCTACTTGGTAAATGTGAGAAAGAGTAGCTGTTTCCCCATCGACCATCTTGGATTTGACATCTCGGAGTAAAAAAAAAAAACAGATGAATTTTCTTCTGTTTTTTTTAAGTGCCCTCATTCTCCTTTTTTCAAAATATCTGGACGAGAAACTATTTTTTAAATTTTTATTTGGCCTATAATAATAATAATATTGAAAACTTGTTGTGCACCAGTATTCATTTGTAAAGGTGCTCATGGTACATTGACACAGTTCACTTCAAAGCGGAAACTACTATACACTTAACTCAAAACTTTAATTAATTTATTAAATTTTTTATTCAAAAAAATTATCCACGCAGGGGTTAACAAACAGTTTATTTCAAATGGAGGACTGGCCCCGATAACAAAAACGGCGTCACTGTCACCCTGGGTGTATGCACAGTGACAGTGATATATAAAATAATATTTAAAAACTGAGAGATAATGGGGCGTAACCGCCCTTTTTTACACCTTTTTCCCCCAGTTTTTAAATATTTAAAAATCTGTATCTCATTCATCGTTCCCCAGTTTTTCGTCAGACAACTTTTTTCTGTCTTGGAAAAATCATTGCTACAACATATCAAAAATTTTTTTTTCCTCCGGAGTCTGACTTTAAGGAGTGGAATTGTATTTGGTGGTTGTTTCTGGGTTCAATTCTTATGTTTAAAAACATGATAAGAATTGAACCCAGATACAGATTAAATTTATTGCCAAATGTACATGTAAACATACAATGAAATAGTATCGGCTCGATGAACGCAATATAAGTGATTTAAATAACATGAATAACAACCATGGTATGGAACCAAGCAATGTGTATTGCATTAATGCATGTATCTTTCGACCTAGATATTTTATTTTACTCTAATAATTTAAATAATTTGATACAAAATATGGAATACAAGGAGAATATATTAGTGAACTTTTTTGTTTCAGGGAAATGGATGTATCCCCTTTTTAGTAAATATTCCCCTGTGATGTTGAAATCGTATCCTTGTCAGTGTTAGCATTACCACTACAGTACATCCTTAAGGATACAATAATTCCATTTTAGTGCTAAGAACTTGTTATCAGTTGCCTGTCAAATATTTGTAATAATGACACTTTGATGTCTACAGTATATTGTGTATTAAAAACTCCTAACATTGACTCGTTATCTACCGCTCTTTGTAAAGATCAAGAGGGTACACAATTGTCCCCTCCTGTCAAAATTATTAATTTCATATAATATATAATATGAAAACAGAGACCACACCCCCTCCCCCCTTCTTGTTTCCCCTGTTTTCAAATTCCTGACTCAGACCTTACCGCCACACACACACATTAATAAAATCAAGAAGAAAAATCAATCCCAACAAAAAAACTGGTCTAAACTGATCATTCAGTGTATCAACAAATTACATTTATTTTTTGGACCTTTGCACTTACTGAAGTGGTTTATTCTTTTATTAGTTAAACTTCGTTTAACCGATATGTATGATGCAATTGTTGTTATGGTACAAACGTATAGTTACCCAGTTGGCGAATACAAAAATTCAAGTGGAGAGGCCCAGAATGTAAATTTCAAAGATGGAGGGTCCTGACCACTTCGGCCCCACCATGGTTGAGGGTGAGGTACAAAATTTTATGTTTATGGCACTTTTATATGGCACTCTCAGACTAAAAATATGAATTGTAATTTTTATCCCCCCGCCCCATTTTTGAAAATGTTGTGGGGGAGGGGGACTCATTTGAATCCGTGTATGTTACCTGTGTATTTTATTTATGAGAGGAAAAAATACTGTATATTTTGGCAAAACAAGCAGATACTAAATTTTAGGTCAGCTTTGGCAAGACAAACTTTTTATTTATCTATGGTAGTGACGTAAAAAATGCAGTCTAAAGGCCCCTTGCTGAGGCTTATTCAGTGCCCTCCACCCTGGGGGGAACCCTGCCTCGGCGTATTTGGGTTTTAAGGAAGTTATTTTATTTTGAATGGGGAAACATGCTGAAAATATATAGGGGGAACTTTTAGGCCTGGTCCCCCCCCCCCCAAGCCTTTAGCCAGTGAGAACTAATAGCTGTTATGCCACTGTCTGATGATATAGTAGGCCTGTACAACACATGGTATTAGGACCTTGATGCATCTGATGAGTATTGAGAAACATTATATAGTACTGTAGGCCTACTGTAGTGTTCCAACAAAAGTCTAATCTACTAATCCAAATCCAACCCTTAAAGACTAATCCTACTTTGTATGCTTGACCATTGAATGTCCTGTGTTTGATCTGGGATTTAAAAACAGATGCTTTAAATGTTGAATGAAAATGACTGTTAAAACCTTTTGTTGTTCTTTTCTTTTATTTTTGATTCATAGAACTTCAGAGAGGGAAGCAATGATATTAAAACTGTATATTGTCTTTCATGCAGTATACAGATATCATATCAACTACAAGCATTCATCATCTTTAACGCCTTTCGTCTTGCTATTTTGCAAGAAAAAACATGAATTTGATGCTAATGTTTTTATGACTGCTTTATAAGAACCCTGTGTAATAAAAATAATAATATAATAATATATAATGATAGTAATATACAGTATAATAATGATAATAATATAATAATAATATAATGATAGTATGATAATAATATATAATAATAATTATAATAATATAGGCCCCAAATAATAAAATGAATAAAAAGCTTTTTTTTAAGAATGTCAAAGGAAGGCAGAAAAAAATAAAAATTTCTTTATTCAACATGATTTTGCCAGAAGCATCTAGACAGAGGAGAAAACGAAGATAGTTTTATTGATGAATGTAAATGGTGTAGTAATAATGAGATTGATAAATGCTTGAAATGTATATAATTATGAAGAAATATATATTTTATTTTTAGAGATTTCAGGGGAGCTGAGAGTGTTAAAAAAATAATTAAAACAGATCTTTTTTATGAAATTTTGCGGTGAAGAATACACTAACTTTCCAAAAATAAAATTTAATTTTTATTCAAAATCAACATTATTTCCTGTCAGAGTGTTTGCTAAACAATCTATAAGAAAAGTCTTGCCTTGGTAGCATGAGACAAGGTTGCATGTGTTTTCAAGAATGTGTAATCTATAACTTGTGTGTCTTAAAGGCTGTCATTAATCTGCGAAGTTCTGAATAGAATACTGTTTAAGAGTATAATGCTCCTACACAGCATACAATTTGACATTTATGACCATTAAATACAAGCAGTTTCTTAGAAATCCTATCAGTCTCTTGTGAAAAGCAACACTTTTTTTGAAATGACATTCTTGATTTACTGTTACCGACACAACATCCTTGAAATTACTTGTTCCTAAAATCCATAAATCTGTAACCTTTTCATAAATCAATGTCGCAAATAGTTCACACGCGACACTTACTTCATTATGTTGCATTTTTAAATTTCTTCTTAAGTCCATAGCTTCAAAACCATTGCATAAATCAGGTTGTTGCAAATAGTTCACACGCGACACCTTCATTATGTTGCACTTTTAAATTTCTTGTTCTTAAATCCATGGCTTCAAAACCATTGCATAAATCAAGTTGTTGCAAACAGTTCACACGCGATTCCTACTTTATGTTGCATTTTAAAAGGAATGTGAGTTGATATAGTATTTCATACAAAACTGTGTATACACAATGGATTAAATTATATTTTGTTTTTGTAGGACTGGAATTTTTCATCGAGATGTTAAACCTGAAAATATTCTTATACGTGTGAGTTTTATTTTACTATAATAAATAGTTTATTTTCTGATAATTTTCAAATAATGCATTAATATTTACATTGCTTCTGCAGTTTTATATTTGTTTCCTTTATTGTAACTTGCACATCACCAGGGTTTTTATCATCAACATACTTTCCCAAAACTACCACAGTTATCACCATCATCACTATTATTATCATCATCATCATCACCATTATTATTGTCATTATCATCACAGTTATCATCATCAAAATTATATTCATCAGTCATCATCACCACTTATATGATATTGTTAATAAACTAGTTTTCTCATCTCTATCAATAACATATTCACATTACTACACGACCCCATCTTTACCATAGCAATAATAATAATATTAACATTATTCCAAGATGCTTTGCTGCTTGCCTCGTTACTTATGTATAAAAACATGTCAATACTTAATAAATTAACTCGTTTTTTTTTTTTTTTTTTTTTTTTTTATTTTTTGGGTGAAATTTTTTTTTTTTAACTTTTAGGGTGATCAACTAAAATTAGCAGACTTTGGATCGTGTCGAAGTGTGTATTCCAAACAGCCATACACAGAATACATTTCAACACGCTGGTGAGTCCTTTACGACTCTGTGTTTAGTCAATGTACTTTCTATTCAAAATAAATCATAAAGTGTAATAGAGGACATAATATTGATCGCTTGTTTCATGTGTTTTTAACCTTACAGGTATCGAGCGCCAGAATGCTTATTAACGGATGGTTACTATAGTTACAAGATGGACTTATGGAGCGTGGGGTGTGTCTTTTTTGAGGTTCTTAGGTTAGTTTTGATAATTGTTAACTGTTATTTGTATGATGGTGAGGGTGTTTAATGGTAGGGTTAAATGGAAACACAAGGTATGGGAAGACAATGCAATGTTGTTAGATTATATATAGATGTACATTAGTAGAAAAATTAAGGTATAAACACCTCAAGAGAAATGCTGGGGAAAGAAGCAGTTAAACATGAAAGCCTACCTTCTAATCAAAGATGGCACAAAGGATTTATTTATTTATCTATATATTAATTTTTTTTATAATTTATTTATATTTATTTATTCATTTTTTCACTTATTTTTATTTATTTATTTACTTATTTATACATAAGTATTTATTTATTATTTACAGTAAAATAGTATAAAATCTAGGATCAGTCTTTTTATTCTTTTTACCCCAAGAAGCCAGAATATTATGTTTAAAAAAGGGAATTTTGAAGCTTTAATCAAATTAACATAAGAAACACCACAATACCATTGAATTTGTTATGAGGTCAAAGTGGTAACCTCTTCCCAGCCCTTTTTTTCCTGCCTATCCTCATACCATTTTATAAACCCAGCGTAACTAACTTTTCAGTGGAGTAATGTCTTTGAACTCTATGAAGCTGCCCCGAGCCCCATCCAAAGGGGCCCAGAGGTCCCCTAGCACTGAGGGTTTCAATACAGAGCCTTGACACTCAGGATTAGCAATACAACAATATAATTTCTGGTTTTCCTATTCAGTCTCAATATTGCGGTAGCTTGGGTATGCAGTACAGGTCAAGCCCCCCCCCCCCTTCGGACAGAGCTTGTCGGGCAGTCGGACTAAAAAAAATATAAAAATAGGCCCACGCCAAGCCAACACGTCTGTCACAATCTGAGACTGTCATTTCTGGCCATCCAGAGGTTCCTATTCCTTAAAAAATTGGGAGGGGAACACCCTCTGAAACCATCCCCCAGTCTCGGGCCTACAAGCTGCTCAAGTTCCCCCTATCGGACAGCTCTGCCACTTTATCTTTCCTGGTCCCCCATGATTCGTCATTATGCCACTGTATTATATAAAAATCAGAAGTATTGGCTATAAATGAAACATAATTTGTATCTAATAAATCTCTATTGATAAGATACCGTATTGACTCTAATAAATGCCCGGGGGCGTTGCATTTTTTCAAAGGGGGGCTTTTATTAGAGGTGAATTGTAAAATCAAAAATTACCTAAACAAGCTGCTTTATTTAGTTTGAAAAAGAATTTTAAAAACAAATGCGTTTCCACGACCGAGAGGTATTAAATAATGTTTTACTAGCACTGCACGCAAAACATCAACTCAACTTGAAGAAACATTCTCACTACGGTATAGACTTCATTTACCAGACACCTTGAATCAATCAGCGTCGAACATGTGACACATTAACAATACACGATTACCCGTCGTTTGCCGTCAGTTTGCAGCTTACCCTGTTTTTACAAGGCTAACAAAATACCATGAGAGAAACACAAAATAGGCCTAGGCCTAGTGATCGTGAAGACAGTAAACATCAAACGCTTAGGGTAAGCTTTTTTGAGTAGTATTTATTTCATTTCATATCAAAGAAAGCAGCACACAGTATCAGTGGCGTAGAAAAATATTTTTCATTGGGGGGGGGGATGATTGGCGTGTTAGCCAGTGTCGTAACAGGCGCGGGGGGAGGGGAACTGCCCCTCTTCTGACGGTTTTTACCGGGCTGACCAAGCCGTCGTACCGGGCTGGGTAATAAGAGAAAAGAAAGAGGGGAGAGGGAGGGAAAGAGAAAAAAAGGAAAAGAAAAGGAAAGGAAAATAAAAAAAGAGAAGAGAAAAATAAAGACAAGAATATAAAGAAAGATATCATAATGACCAGACTCACAACACCCTGCAACCCCTTCTCCACTTCAAAAACTGTCATAACTCCTTTGATCTATGCTGCCCAATGGCGTAACTACTGGGGACAAGGGGAAAATATCTATCTTTGGAAAATCTTCCCCACCCCTTTATAAATACCCTTTTCATTCCTCTTCCGAAGTTTTTCATCATCGTGAGTGATATATACAGAAACATAAGTGATGCATCCTACAAGACCATAGGGTAATTACCCTCTCATTTTAAATGCATGTTTGATGTATGGATGTAACAAGATTGAATTTTACAACAAATTAAAGTTTACCTTGAAATAAGAAAATTAACAGGCTAATGGCCACTTAAACTTTACAATTGCTATTACATGAGCTATTTTTTTTTGTTATGGTTATTGATATTGATCTATGCTGCCCAATGGCGTAACCACTGGGGACAAGGGGAAAATATCTATCTTTGGAAAATCTTCCCCACCCCTTTATAAATACCCTTTTCATCCTAAAAACCTAAAAACCTCAAATTTTGCGCGCATTTCTTGTTAACATGGGCCAATTTCCTCTAAAAATTGCACATTTTAGGGAGTTTTGATCAATTCCAACGAAATTAGAATTAAAAACACCGGGGGACAAGGGGAAAATATCCATCTTTGGAAAAT